TTCGTAGTCGTTGTGGTGTAGGCAGCCCTTCCTCCCGTCTGGAAAAATTGGTTTTGGCCGCCTGCAAAGATGCTTTTTCCAGTAGTGGGAGCATAGGCAACCAGTAGTATATACTAGTGTCACGTAATATCCATTCGTGCATACAGGTGCATGTGCCCATGCATGTAGTCAAGGTTGTACCATTAGTGACAATTATTCATTAATTTCATTACTACCATAATTTCTGGGATTAATACTTTGACACAACCATTTCTTTTTTATATAAAAAAAAGTGTGCAAACTATCGTCGAACAAGCATCACGTTGAACTGTGGATTATCAATAGGGCGACGGTGAGAGGTGCGGCTACCATCTGGTGAATTAAATAAGAACATATGAACAAACATATATTAAATACCATTCGAAATTGAGTTCATTCTAATATAAGATCGATCGATTTAGTAGAATAAAGACTATATATAATTATGGCTGAGATATGAAATATATTGAAGGTTTGTGTTACCGATCGAGTGCGCGCTGGGGATGGCGATAATTAAGGCTGCCGGCGACGACGATACGATGTGCGGCGCGAAGAAGAGGAGCATGCATGAGGAGGACGTAGAGGGATAGACAGCGGCGTTGCACGCATGGCCGCGCGCTAGCTGCATATACATGCATGTGTGCCGATCTTAGTACGTGTGGAGGTCTAGGGATGATCTTGGGAGGCCGCAGAATTATATATACTATTCACGAACAAGCTAATTAATAAGGCTTGTAATTAATTTGCTTGGTTGCTAAGATCTGCATGTAAAGGATCAGATCCGATCCGATCCAACTTAACAGCAAATTAACGGGAAGCAAATGAATTTGTGCATGCACTTCTATAACTAATATAAACATTTGGATTTTTCCTATCGTCACAAGTCGGACGAAGGGCGCCTTCGTCCCTCGAATCCCAATCCCTCCAATCCCTCTCAGAATCGGATAAAGGGAAACAATTCCCAAAATCGGCACAACCAAATGCGGGGATTTTTCGTCCGCCCCTAAGAAAAGTCCCAGTCGAAATTCATCAAGAACACATATGAAACATTCCATCAATAACACACATAACAAAACTTTCAACCAAGAACATATGGACCTCCACCGACACCATGCACAGAGAGAGAGAAAGAGACAACACCGCCGCCTCTCCCGCCCCCGCCAGACCGCAGCCGCCTCCATGCCGCCGGATCTGGCCGAGGCGAGGTTCGGCCTGCCGCCCCTCCCACCCCCGCTGGGCCGGAGCCGCCTCCACACCGCCGCACCTCCCCACCATGCACAGAGAGAGACAGAGAGAAAGAGATGATGCCGTCGCCTCTCCCGCCCCCGCCGGACCACAGCCGCCTCCAAGCCGCCGGATCTGGCGGAGGCGAGGTCCGGCCTGCCGCCCCTGCCTGGCCACAGCCGCCTCCACGCCGCTGGATCTGGCGGAGGCGAGGCTCGGCCAGCCGCCTCCACGCCGTCCGACCTGCCACCTCCATGACGTCCACCGCCACCGCTGCCACACCTCCCCTCCCCCCGATCTAGCGGAGGGGAGGGCGTCGCCGCCCCTCCTGCCGCCGCCGCAGAGAGAGAGAGAGGGGGAGAAGTGGAGAGAGAGTGAGGGAGAAGTGGGGAAGCTGAGAGAAGGGGAGAAGCCGAGAGAAACCGAGAGAGGAGATGAAGCTCGGCTTATCTCCTGCCGGTACCCGTGGGGAGGCCACCGTTCGCATGCGTCGCTGCTCGCCGGAGGGAAACGGCCGGCCGGCTAGGAGAGGGGGGTGGAGAGGGAGGGAAGTAGCCGGCCGGTCGGCTAAGAGAGGGGGCGGAGGGGGAGGGAAATGGGGAGAGGGGGCGGAGGGCTGGGGGAGATGGGGAGGGGGCGAAGACTGGATGGATCGAGATCGAACCTTATCTACTCGCGTGGGCCCCGCCAGCTCGACCGACTCGGCACGATTATTAGGATTTCATCATTAAAGATATTTTTAGTATGACTTATACTTTTGCTTATTTACACAATTGAATAAAATGAATAGTAAAATATTATTTGAAAAGTCAAATCATCCCAATTCAAATAAAAACAAAATCACAGTCCAAATATAAATTGAAATCAAAGAAGATCAAAAATATTAATGCAAGATGAGGCCATCGCGTGCTGCTTCTCGCTACCTCGTTGCAGTCACTACACCATGACCAAGTATTCATGGTACTTAATTGCCGGCTATAAAATGAACTATTTGCCGGGAATATATCAAGTGCCGGAAATAATCTTGAACATCATCTCATTTGCCGGGAATTAGAAAAATAGGGCAGCAAATTAAGTGCCGGCAATGAACTAATATAACAGGTCAATTAATCCGCCATAGATAATTTAAGACAACACACATTATGTGCCAGGAATTTTGCTACCAGGAAAACAAATTTCCAGTTAACTTTTTAGGAAATTTTTGGCGGGCCAGCAAGGCGCCAGGCGCCATGAAAAAAATCCATCACACGTGCACCACACGCGCGCCGCACCCGCGATTCCCCATCCACCCACACCACCGCACGCTGCCTCCCACACCCCGCGATTCCCACACCCCGCGCCGCCGTCCTCCTCCTGCGCCGCCGTCCTCCTCCTGCTGACCCCGCCACCGCCGGAGCCCGACCTCGACGAGCCCGACCCCGACGCCTCCCCTCCTCCGACGAGCCCGACCCCGATGCCTACCCTCCTCCGACGAGCCCGACCACGATGCCTCCTGCAGATCCGCGCCGACTCCACACGCCGCCGTCCTCCTCTACTTCTCCATCGACTCCTCCTCCGGCCGGCCGGCTTCCGCTGTCGGCTCCTCCCTCTTCCCCAATGCCTTCCCATCGCTGCAGTTGAGTCCACCCTCTTCCCCACCTCCTCCGCCGCCTCCTCAACCTCCAGGTTTAGGTAAGAATCAAATCCCCTTGTTTATGAGTGTGATTTTTTTTGTCTCATAGATGGATGTGTGTGTGTTTTTCTTTTTACAACCCTGCCTATAAGCTGTATGTCCACCCTGTGATTTACTCAATTTGTCTGCATATTGGTGCTTGCGTGATGGATTTGGAGGGGAATTTGTAGCAATTAGTTGCTTAGAAATCGAGGGTAACTGAGTGACCAGCTTGCTTGTTCTTTACTTTAACGAATTTTGCACCGATTGCAATCAGAATGTGTTTCGGGTGTTAGAATTGGGAGAATGACAATGACAGTGTAACAATGTAAATCTTGGTATGAATGGACAATGATCTGATTGATCTAAAAATAACAACTGACGACGGTGAATACAGTGTGCTATGTAAACTTCAAAAGTGAATACAATGGCCACCTGTGCTTTCAGTATACACTACATTACTCCTTGAAGATATTTTTGTGTGATTCTTAAAGGCTCTTTGTTCTTTTTATTTTTGTGTGATATTAACCGTTGGTTCAACACTGATGCTGCCATCACCTTTTGCCAATTTAATATAGACGAGCCCTGCAGTGAGCTTCATAGTGGCACTCTGTTCAGATCCATTGCTAAGACATTTTAAAACCACCTTACTGTTGAAAGTTAGTGCTACTGAAAGTCTGAAACTATGGAATATATTAAAATATAGGCATCATGTGAGGTAGTTGTGAGTCTGGTACGTCATGACCTGTGCAAAGGTAAGTAGTATGTGTTCTACTAGTATATTTTGTGAAGTTAGTGTCGGTGTCAAATAATAGTAATATTTCATCTCTATCTGACATCCTGAACCCAATCCTTTCAACCATGAGATAAAGCAGACATCATTTGGTGCTTTAGGCTTTGATTTTATTCCACATCATTTGTACAGATATTGATTTGCAAATTATTTTAGCACATTTGATTTGGAAATGGGCAATCACTTAACTGTTCTAGCACTCTTTACCTAGATTGATATCTTGGGAGTTTCTTGAAATTATTAACGCAAGCATTTAATTTTAAGTCAGCATTATAATTTGTTTCTAAATGTGAACTATTTGGCTTTATGGTGCAGTTTAGTGGTCCACTATCGATTTTGCTGCAATCAACCTACGTTGTTGAGCATCTACCCAGCAGGACATCTCAAGAAAAACTTCGTACCACGGTTAGTATCAACCAACTTGCCATCAGTACTGTGCTTAAAGGCTAAAATGCTATATCTATGTGTTATGTTTGTTTTGTGCAATGTCTTTTTATACTTTTTCCCATGAGCACAATGGCATGTACTTGACGCGCAGAAAACACCACTGAAACACATAATAATTTAGGCGACCTGTGAAATTTGATTGTCAATATCAGCTATGGATAAGAGATGGATGGACCTTCCTAGGTACAATTCTACCTAATAATTAATGTGGCGCAATGTGTTTTTTTTTCCATTCATTCATCTTTCTCTAAACTTTCAAAAAAAACTATAGGCACACATCTGAATACATACAAGGGGTCAACGAATTTATACAATATGCTTTTACCCATTCAGCAAAAGAGAACACAATACTATGCCCTTGCAAGAAGTGTGTGAATGGTTGTTGGAAGGAAGCTAGTGAAATCTATGTCCATTTAATATGTGATGGGTTTTTAGATGGGTATAAGACATGGATATTTCATGTAGAGGCATCGTCTTCCTTTGCTCAATATGGTGAAGCACCAGCCTCTTTTCCTGAGCAAACTTTGATGAGATTATGAGACAAGATAGTAGTTCAGAGGAAGCTAATGAGATGTTTGATATGCTTCATGATGTTGCTCATGGATTAGATATGGGGAATTTGGATAGAAATGACGATGACAATGTAGTGATGCAAATACATCACTTTATCTAAGGTGCGAAAGCTTCTCAAAGTTACGCTTTCTAGTCGAATTACTCCACATAAAACTTCTTGGTGGCTGGAGTGATAAGAGTTTTGATATGCTTCTTGATCTTCTTAGAGAGGCTTTCCCTAAGGGCTCAACAGTACCTAAGAGCTTTTATGAAGCTAGGAAAATAGTCAAGTGTCTTTCGCTTGGGTATGATACTATTCATGCATGCGAGAATGACTGCGTACTGTTTAGGAAGCAATATGCCAATGCAGATGTCTGTCCAAAATGCAATACTTCTCACAGGAAAACATCCAAGAAAAGTCTTGATGGGAAGCGTGTCCATAAAGTTCCTAGAAAAGTGCTTCGCTATTTTCCTATTGAAGAGAGGCTTCAAAAAATGTTTATGTCCCCAAAACTTGCTAATGATGTACGGTGGCATGATGAAGGGCGCACGAAGGATGGACTATTGAGGCATCCAGCTGACTCTCCAGATTGGAAGCATTTTGATAACACATACCCAGAGTTTGCTGCAGATAGTCGCAATCTCAGGCTAACTTTAGCTACTGATGGCTTTAATCCATTTAGATTAATGAACTGCAGTTATAGCATCTGGCCTGTTGTGATAATTCCAATGAATCTACCTCCTTGGCAATGTATGAAGCAACCAAACTTCATTCTTTCCTTATTAATCCCTGGTCCAAATTCACCTGGAAAGAATATGGATGTCTATTTTGAACCACTAGTAGATGATATGCATGATATGTTTGAGGAAGGTGTAAGAACTTATGATTCTTCCAAGGACGAATATTTCCAGTTGCATGCTGCCCTACAAAAAACCATCACTGATTTTCCTGGGTTAGGTTATGTCTCTGCATGTGTAACTTCAGGAAAAGTAGCATGCCCTCATTGCCACTCATATACTTGTTCTATTCATTTGAAAAATGGAGGCAAGTGTTGTTACATGGGTCATCGGAGGTTCTTAGATGCAAACCACAAGTTTAGGTTTGATGCAGCATCATTCGATGGCAATGTGGAGTTAGGGACAGCACCGAAGCCTCTGACCAGAGAAGAGATTTTTAAGCAAACAGAAGATCTACCTGCAGATTTTGGAAAGGACCCAAAGAAGAAAAAAACCAAACCAAATAGTAAAGGCAAGGAAACAGAGGAAAAAATAATATGGAATAGGAGATCTATCTGGTTTAGGTTGCGATATTGGAAGGATGTGATGCTTCCACATAATTTTGATGTAATGCACATTGAAAAAAATGTATGTGACAACATCATCAACACACTATTGGGTATCGATGGGAAATCTAAAGATAATCTGAATGCTCGATTGGATCTTAAACTTCTAGATATACGGAAATATTTGCATCCTGTCGAAGTTGGGGATTCTTATTATTTGCCTCCTGCACCTTTCTCAATGAGTTCTGAAGAGAAGAAATTGTTTTGTGAAGTTCTGAAACGAATCAAATTTCCTGATGGCTATGCCTCTGATATTCGCCGGCATGTACATGTTAAAGAGAAAAGGATAATTGGTCTGAAAAGTCATGACAACCATATCCTCTTACAACACTTGCTTCCACTAGCAGTACGAAAGACATTGCCAGAATATGTTAGTGCAGTATTGGTTCGTGTGAGTAACTTCTTTAAGAAAATATACTCACCTGTTATTTCCATAAGTGATATGGAAAAGTTAGATGCTGAAATTGCTGAAACATTAAGCCTTCTAGAGACTATATTTCTACCAGCCTTTTTTGATATTATGGTTCACTTAATGGCTCATCTTCCTACCCAAGTAAGGATTTCTGGCCCAGTTCAGTACAGCAACATGTATCCAATAGAAAGGTAATATTCAAAAACAAACTATGAGTATTGTATAACTACACACACACACACACACACACACATATATATATATATATAATGTGAATATAATCTGCTGTTGTATTAATTCTATGTAGGTTTCTAATGAGGTTAAAGGGATATGTACGCACCAAGAGTCATCCTGAGGGATCAATTGCTGAAGGCTATTTGTTTGATGAGAGTCTTACATTTTGCTCTCGTTATTTAGAAGGATGTGAAACTAGGTTCTCTCGAAAATCCAGAACTAGTATAGATAAACCAAGCTCAATTACCATGCCATTCTTCTACAACAACATTGGTCGGGATTTGTCTGGAAAGTGCATGGTGACCTTAGACTACATGGCTCCAAGCACATAGATATGTCTTATTTAATTATGATCATATAGAGCCATACTTGAGGTAGGCTATGCTAACTATCTCACTATTATAGTCTGCTGGTTCTTTTCACTTTAAACACTAAAATTATATTTAACCTTGCATAAAACATCATGATTACTTATCGTCACTTGGTTATAGAAACAACAGTGAAATCAGTCGTATTCACTATGAGAAGTTTCATGAATGGTTTGGCTTTCATGTGGCAGAGTTATTAAGAAATGGTGAGGAGGTTTCTGAAGAGATTCAAACTTTAGCTAATGGACCTTTGGTAGTAGCAACTAAATACAACAGTACACACTAGTACAGATCCTATCATCTGTGACGGGCTCAATTATGCCTGGACTACTTGGGCCGTCAGAACGAAGTCATCTCAATCGGGCCTAAATTTGCACCGTTGTAAATGTACTCACTCTAGGCCCAAGTGCATATAGCCTGTCACGGATGACACTCATCTGTGACGGGCAAAGATTTAGACCCGATTGAGATAACCTCGCATATCTCAATCGGGCCCAGACGCCGAGCCCGTCAGTGATGAGGGTCATCGGTGACGGGCTACAAATATGGCCCGATTGAGATAACTTTAAAGCCTGTCACCGATGACTCATATCGGTATCGGGCTTTTGTTGATGCCCGTTAGAGATAACTTTTATTTAGGTTATTTTTCTATATAACTTTTTTGAATAGTTTGAGTTTGAATTTGAAAATATGACAACTTCAAACAATATTTTTAAATACTAAATAATTTCAAATGAAAAAATTATCAACAATAAAGTTGTATAACATACCAATATTTACAACTTTTATTTTTATTTTGGTTATTTTTCTATATAACATTTTTTTTGAACAGTTTGAATTTGAATTTGAAAATATGACAACTTCAAAACAACATTTTCAAATACTAAATGATTTGAACTAAAAAAGTCATCAACAACAAAGTTGTATAACTCATCAACATCTATAACTTTTATTTTGGTCATTTTTCTATATAACGTTTTTTTAACGGTTTGAATTTAAATTTGAAAATATGATAACTTGAAACAATATTTTTGAATACTAAATGATTTCAACTGAAAAAGTCATCAACAACAAAGTTGTATAACTCATCAATATCTATAACTTTTATTTTGTTCATTTTTCTGTACAACATTTATTTAAACAGTTTGAATTTGAATTTCAAAATATGACAATTTCAAACAACATTTTCAAATACTAAATGATTTCAACTGAAAAAGTCATCAACAACAAAGTTCTATAATTCATCAAGATCTATAACTTTTATTTTGGTCATTTTTTCATCCGATAAAGTGTTAGTAACATTGTTCACAAAAATTACGTATCTGTGTTATAGTTTATAAAACTAGATGAGAGATATGTGAATTTTGTGAACAATGTTACTATTACTTTATCGGATGAAGAAATGACCAAAATAAAAGTTATAGATCTTGATGAGTTATACAACTTTGTTGTTGATGACGTTTTCAATTGAAATCATTTAGTATTTGAAAATGTTGTTTGAAGTTGTCATATTTTCAAATTCAAATTCAAACTGTTTAAAAAAATGTTGTATAGAAAAATGAACAAAATAAAAGTTATAGATATTGATGAGTTATACAACTTTGTTGTTGATGACTTTTTCACTTGAAATCATTTAGTATTTGAAAATATTGTTTGAAGTTGTTATATTTTTAAATTCAAATTCAAACTGTTCAAAAAATGTTATATAGGAAAAAGACCAAAGTAAAAGTTATAAATCTTGATGAGTTATACAACTTTGTTGTTGACAATTTTACCATTTGAAATCATTTACTACTCGAAAAAAATATTTGAATTTCTTATATTTTAAAATATAAATTTTATATAGTTCAATCAAACTCGGATGGAGAAATGACCAAAATAAAAATGGTAGATCTCAATGAGTTCTACAACTTTGTTTTTGATAGCTTTTTCATATGAGTTCATTTAGTATCATAAAATTCAATTCGAAATTTATTTTTTCCTAGAAGTCTGATTTGCCTCCTACTCATGATAATACTTGCTAAATATATATTTGATTCAATTAAATTGGATTTGCTGGTGAAATATGTGATCAAAATGGATGTTATGTGAATGTGGTTGTGTTATGTGAATAAATGTATATGAATAGGGAGGTGTGACATCCTAGCCTAGGGCTTAATAGGATTAATAGAATACTCGTACCAACAAATTACAATTTCTTTCTCGAAAACTAGTCTACGAAGAACTATGAGGTTAAGCGTGCTTGGTCTAGAGCAATTCCCGGATGGGTGACCAACCAGAAAATTTGTCCCGGATGCACACTAGGGAGGGCAAAGGCCTGAGGCTAAAAAAAAGCAAAATTAATTTTTTTTGGGTTATACTCATATGTGACAGGCTATAATCTAGGCCCGTTAGAGATGAGAGTCATCCGTGACGTGCTATAATCTAGGCCCGTTAGAGATGAGAGTCATCCGTGATGGGCTTTTGTGTTGGCCCGATTGAGATGTGTCATCCGTGATGGCCGGATGCCCGATTGAGATATTTTCCCACATCACTGACCTTTGGTTAGTGACGGGGGGCAAAGGCCCGAGGCTAAAAAAAAGCAAAATTAATTTTTTTGTGGGTTATACTCATATGTGACAGGCTATAATCTAGGCCCGTTAGAGATGAGAGTCATCCGTGATGGGCTTTTGTGTTGGCCCGATTGAGATGTGTCATCCGTGACGGCCGGATGCCCGATTGAGATATTTTCCCACATCACTGACCTTTGGTTAGTGACGGGGGCCCTGCCCAAAAGAGATGATGCATTAAGCCCGTTAGAGATAACCAATCCCGTTCCAGTGACACTATTAATGGTCATATTTTTCACACCAAGTCCTATGATGAGGGTAGGTCTGTCCAATGTAGTGGAGTGACTCTAGTTGCTCAAACCTCTTCCAAATCTGCTGGAAATAATAATCCAATGGTGGAAAATAAGACCTATTATGGTGCTATAACTGAAATCCTTGAATTGGACTATAAGCACAAGGGAAATATTGCTCTCTTCAAATGTGAGTGGGTTGACAATCGTGTACAGGACAAGTGGATTAAGGTCGATAAGTTGGGAACCACAAATGTTAATCTCAAGCATTTATTTAATACTGGTAGCAAGCTGTCCGATGAGCCTTTTATTTTGGCCTCTCAAGCAGTCCAAGTATACTATGTTGAAGACCCAAGTGACAATGGTTGGAGTGCTGTTATTGAGACAAAACCAAGAGACTTCTATGATATGGCTAAAGTACAAACTGAAAGTTCTGATCACGAAAGTGAACATGTACAATGTCCTGATTTTGGTGGCAGCAACATTACTCCTGATCAAACATATGTGTCTCCCGTTAGATCAGATATTGATGGAATAATTGTTAATGCAACTGAAAAGAGAAAGTATGTCATTTCACCTTCTTCTCAAATGCTATCGTTTACTTTTCTCATGTTTTACATAATTGCTAGCTTGTTTAATAGACCTGCTATTACTTCACATTGTGAAATAAGATACTAAACTATTGTATTTTTCTACAGGAAAAATAATGGCAAGAGAAAGAGGAAATGAGAATACTACCTACCTTAATGAATATGAAAGAGGGAGAGCAGAAAGAATTAAGAAAAACAATATAGCACTACAAGCTATAATTCAAAAGAGAAGGGAGTTGGCTAAATCAAGCGAGGGAAATCTCGGGTCTGCTTCTACTCATCAGGAAACAAGAAAGAGGAAGGTTAGGAATTCTAACATGTCAATTGCTTGATATCGTATTACATGCTAACTGCTTAGGAAGAAAAATCTATTCATCTTCTTGTAGAGAGTCGATTGCGCTGGAAGTGAACCAGCTAGACATGAATCTGGGTTGCCAAATCTGTCTAGATCAACAAGGAGGGGAACAGGGAGTAGTACAAGTACACACGATGAAGATGAAGAACTTGTTGCTAATACAAATCATCTATTCATGCACGATTGCGAAAGAAATGATGAGCTTGCAGAAAATGGAGGTATATTTATTGCAAAGTTCCATATCTCCGCCTTAGCTTTTAATTACAACGTATCTAATTCTGTTTTATTTTTATATAGTTGATGCTATAAATGATGGACAACAAGTATCTTTTACTTTGCTCTTGTTTTACAGAATTGCTAGCTTTTTTTATTGGGGAAATTGCACAAATGCCACTAGGGTTTACCGTATTTCTCATTCTGCCACTGGTTTTTGGTACAGCTGCAGCTGCAGCAATGTGTACATCCAATTATTTCCATCAATGGCTAAAGCTGCAGCAAGTTGACCTTTATTTTTTCCAACTAAATGTGTACTGTCCATGGCAATATAGGGCCTGCAGCCCAGTAGGAACCCATCAATACAAGGTTTGAGAGCTGTAAATAACCTTCTGAAGCACATCTGACCATTATGCTCTACAGGAAAAAGAATGGCAAATGGAGGAGGAAATGAGAATACAACCTACGTGAATGAATATGAAAGATTGAGAGCAGAAAGAATCAAGAAAAACAATATAGCGCTACAAGCTGTCATTGAAAAGAAAAAGGAGTTGGCTAACTTAAGCGAGGAAAATCTTGGGTCTGCCTCTACTCATCAGGAAACAAGAAAGAGGAAGGTTAGAAATTCTAACATGTCAATTGCATGATATTGTATTACATGTTAACTGCTTAGAAAGAAAAAATATTCATCTTCTTGTAGAAAGCCGCTTGCACTAGTAGTGAGCCAGCCATACTACCGCTTGCACTAGTAATGGCCTTGTATCAGAAGACGCAGAAGCTACCGTTATAAGTATTTTTTTTTAAAAAAAAAGCATTTGGAATCAATTGAGGAACTAGTTAATATATATATACACACACACACACACACACACACACATATACATATATATATATACATACATATATACATATACATATATACATATACATATATATATACATATATATATATATCTGTATATATGTTTAAATTTATAGAAGGCACTTGAGGACGCAGTTGAGGAACATCCGGAGTGGACAGAAAAAAGCATAACTGAAGGGGACCTTATGTCACGTGTATGTGGGCCTGAAAGGAATGGATTTGTTCGCTCAGTGGGGAAGGGACCAACACCTAGAGATTTGGAGATGCCTGGAAAGGAGAAGTATAGATCAACCAAGGTCCAAATGGCTATTGAAGGTCAGAAACAAGCTCAACTGGAGAAAGAAGCTCTAATAGAACATTTTGAAAGAAGGCAGACACAAAGTGATAGAAAAATTGAGTCACTTAGTGAGAAAGTGGAAAGGTTGACTGAATTACTTCTTGCTGATTCTCGAGATGGACGACAAGTGCATGTTAATCCCCAAGTCTTGTCAAATTCTGCAACAAATGAGGTATATAATGCAATGAATAATTTCTATTATAGATTATCAGTGCTTGTTTCTGTTTTCATTATTTTGGGACAACTCATTTTTGTAGGATGAACAAGAGAGTGCAAATGGCGAAGCTCAGCCGAGTGATGAGGAAAACAATTCCTATGGAATGGTATGTACAATAAGCCTACACTGAAAATGAATATTGTCCCTTCTCCATAGTACAGTATATAATGTGATCTATGCACATGCAGATACCTCCAAGACCTGCAGCTCCTTCACCGCAAGAACACATGGTGATAACCTCTGTTATTTTTCTTTTTTCACTTCTGTTTCACACAATTCTTGTGCATCACTACAATGAAACACTCACATGTTGTAGGCTGGAAAAGAAGTTATCTTATACTCGTTTATTAGACCCCCATGATACTCCTGTTGCAAAGGGTACCCTGCTGTCAGCAAATCGGATGACTGTAGTGAGTGGCACTCAATTGGGTCCTGATTGTTGTGAAGTTGTGGTGAATCACGTGCTGAAAAGGGCTGCTCCATTCCTTCGTCCGTATGGTAACATGAACTACATTTCTGATGCTGTTGGAAGGTCTATTGCATGGCCACGACAACATGTAATCATCCATCTGACTGTCTATTGTTTGAAATTCACTTTGATTTTCTTGTCTCAGTTATGTACTTGCATATGTTATAATCTGTAGATAAAGGAACAACAAAAGTCTCTAGCACAACCTGAAGGTAGCCGTGTTCGTGGTAAGTATATGAATTCTGTTAACTATGTGGCTTGCCTCATGCATATTTGGATTGATGTGATGCTGGATATGAGTGGCTTGCATAGAATAATATAGTTTCTGAACCTTACCACAAGGTCACTTAATTTTAGGACTGCAGCCTATGATTGTTTGTCAAATTAACCACATGGACTAGTATAGTTACCTAGAACATTTTATCCAACATGAAACCTTTTGGGAGGTTATGTTGTCATGTGCTACAGAGACAAGGGCAACAGAGACAAGGGCATATGGAGCTAGAACCATTATGTTGTCATTTTGTTTCTTTGATCCTAGCCAGTTTGCATGGTCTTGTCAGTTTGTGATAAGAATGTATTTATATTATGATAGATAGTTCTTTATATTCTACATGCAAGATTGCTCACAGATTCCAAACTATTATTTTTAGGTCAAAATCGGAAGGGCTACTGAAATTGTTCTGCTAAAGGGTTACTTGTCCCAGAAATTGTCCATTGAAGATTTTTTGCTGAAGTTATTTCTGAATGAAGACCTGCTAAAGATATCACTTGTCCCAACAACAAAGACCTACAAAAGACCCATTGTGTATTTATATTAGAATTTGAAAGAGATGTCACTTAAAGTTAATGAATGCTAAGAATTATCTGTACTCATATGCATATGCTCTATGCTCTATGCAGAGGCATGTAAATATTGCTCCTAGGTGCAACATAATTGTTACTCATGAATTTGTTATTGCTGAAACTGTGGTATGGAACCCTACAATGCAATGTTTTCTGCAGTGTGTTGATGTATCTGTGCAATCTGAAATTTTTGCAATCTGTGCAGCCTGAATTATTGAATGCACAGAGAATTAATGTCTATGCAATCTGAAATTTTTGTTCTATTTTACAAACCATACAATTGATTTGGTGCCAGCAAAACCTATAACTGCCAGTGATGCCTGAATGATGTGCCGAGGATGTTTGAAGCATCTAGGGCATTTAACAGCCGGTAGTTTGAACATATGCCGGGGAAGCCAAAATTGCATCTACGGCAGTTAACTGCCGAGGATTTGGTATCTGCCGGCAAAGGGCATTCCCTACAGGACTTTGTAGGGCAGTTAGCTAGTGCCGGGAATGGTTTTTCCTGGCAGATGAGTTGCCACAAAAACAACTTTCTACGGTAGATACACTGCTATAGACACTATGTCATGGTGTAGTGAGTGGAGGTCGTGAACTCGGGGGGCTAGATTCTGAACCGATGACCGACGCTGCGCGGGATCCGCTGTGCCATCGCGCCACCGAGAAGCTGCCAATCCATCGCTGCGCTGGATGCCGAGGGGGAGAGGGAGGAGCCAGATCCCGAGTGTCGCGCCATTGGAGAGCCATCGACCCACCAGATCTAGCGAGGCGGTGGCCACCGCTTGACGAGGAGAGAAGGAGCCTGTAGTGGGGAGAGGGAGCGGTGCCACCACCGCCGCCAATTGCAGGAGGGCAGGGCGCCACTGCCCGCTTGCGGGAGAGAAGGACGTCGTCACCGCTGCTCGGTGGGGAAGGCTGCTGCCGTCGTCGCCCGTTGGAATAGTCACCACCACCGCCGCCGTTGCTTTACGAGAGAGAAAGAGAGAGAGAGAGAGTGTTAGGGGAGAGAGAGAGAGATTTTAGGGTTAGGGTTAGGGTTGCGGATATTTATCTAGGTCAGGACCAACCGAGACTGTCCATAAGATCGGACGGTCCATGCTTCTCCCACGTCGGGCCGGATGACATTTTAGGCCGCCGCGCTATTGGGCCATCCTATGGGCCGACCGCACGTGTGAAGCACAGAAGGCCGCTCTATTGGGCCGGACTTAAATTAGTTTTTTCTCTCTTATTGATTTTAAGTATTTTTGTAATTTTCAGAAATAGCATTAATACCATTTTAATTGTTCATGACGGTTTATTTTCAAAAAAAATCTTTTTTATTTCGAATTTCAATTCTTTTTCTAAATTGTATTCATATATGCACTCTACCCTCTTTTGGAGAATATTACAGACTTCTTATCCAATATAATTTATAATTTCTATTATTTCTAAATTTTATTTCTATATGAACTCTAAACCCATATTTCAATATTCCTTATATTTTTAATTCCAAATTTCTTTTTTTTCTAAATCTTTCTAGTTGCAACGCACGGGAATTTTTTCTTAAATAAAATGTACTAACTCTAAATAAATAATATATTTTTTCTGCACGTGCATTGTTTGTCTATCCATTTTCTCCCATGCTACAAATCATCCAAACTAAACATCATGTATATTCCACAAATATAAAGCAGATTATTTATCTAAAAATAAATATTTTTTTACCAGATTAGATGTCTAAACCAAACTACACTTTTTGTTCACTGTACACATTTCGTAATCACCCGGTGCAACGCACGAGTACTTTTGCTAGTAATAATATAAAAAGAAAGTGTAATTAATTAAGCATGTGACGGCCGGACGTGCCACGTCACCACACGACCGGCGAGCCCGGCTGGCCGGGAACAGTGGCGCAGTGGCGGAAATGGACGCACAAACACGAGACGACGGACGGCAGCCTGTGGCGACGGGCTTCTCGGGTCAACGACGTACGGTATTGTTCCATCAAGGATTGGAGAAGATAATTAAGAGCGCGGCCGGGGTTTGCTTCAATCGATGCTGCGATCCCTGCAGAGGTGATCGTCGATGGAAGATATGCAAGGCGGCGGCGGGGAGAGCAAGCTACAGCTCACAACAGCTTGAGCAGTTGAGCCAAGGAGAGGACGGCCGAGCTAGCTACAGGCGGCGGAAACCCTAGAGTTATCCCGAGCTTCACGGGCTTCCTGAGGGGAAATTAAGATACAAAGATTAAAAGCCCTCAACAAATTTGGCGGGATTGCGGCGGCGGCCTATAAATCATATCTTATCATATTTGGCCTCAACATATATTACTTTTATATGTAATATCATATCATATTTGGCCTCCTTTCCGAAGTGTTTTTTTTATACATTTTTTTAGCATTCCATTCGTTTTACGGGCTGTATAATAGAGTAGTAGCAAAAATAATTTTGTTGTCCAATTTTAAATCTACAATTCAATCTCCTTTACATGTTTGATTTGATCAGTTTCATCTAGTAGAATAGGCAAATCAGTTATACAAGAACATTGATCAAGCACACAGGTTTGTTGTATTTGACAAACGGATTCAGATAGATCAAATTTAACGCAATAGGACTCTACACATGATTCAGAGGATCAGAGTATGATAATTTGGACTTAACACATATATAATCAACAAGCATATATAAGCACTGGTTTTAAATAGGACTTTCGATTGCAGTAATTAAATAAGTCCACAAGACTTAAAAGACCAAGCCAGTGTATTGACATTACAGTGTGCGCTAGCTCCCTCAACCCTATTTCAGATATGGATCCTACTTATGAGTAATAATACAATGAAGTGCTCCTATTTTCGGAAAAAAAGAACAACAGATATGGATCACATCTCAGCATTTCACAGTAGACTGGCTCTGACTACAAGCAAACTGACTACTAGTAGCTTGTTTAATGCTCAACTAAAATAGATGCAGCAACCTAACTTAAGCGTGGATACATTCCTACAGACAACAAATTGGTCATGCAAAGAGAAAGAGAAAAGAGGATAATACAGAAGCTCACCTCCAAAGATGTCTAGCTCGGGTAGCCGGTAGGTGGCCTGGTGACTGCAGAGGATGAGGGGAAGGGGGTGGCCAGCGCACATGCTCGCCCTATAGCTGGTCGACCTCGACGACGGACGACAGCGCACAATAGCAATCGATTGGAGGAGGGAGGAGACGACGCCATCCACTCACCTTGGCCGGCTTGTGGTCGCGGGCACCACTGGGGAAGAAGACCACGCATGCAACCGGAGATGGCAAGAGGCTTGTCGAGGGCGCATGGGGTGGCGTGGTCCTCGTTCCTCGAAGGCGCAGACACCTGCGTTGACCTCATCTTCGCTCGATGGCGAGATTGGGGGATTAGGGGAGAAAGGCGAGTGGAACGGCGGCGGCTGGCCAGGGAGAACGAAATTTCCCAACTAATCTTCACCATTTTCCGTGCACATGCTTTTCAAACTAATCTTTATTATTTTCCGCGCGCACACTTTTTAAACCGCTAAATATTGCCTTTTTTATAAAAAAAATTATTGAAAAGTTGCTTGAAAAAATCACTTTGTTCCATTTTTTTTAAAAAATAGCTAATACTTAATTAATCACGCGCTAATGAACTACTCCATGTTATGTGCTAGGAGTAAAGGTTGCCAATCCCGAACTCAGCCGTAGATTTTGGTGGGCACGATTGCGTGAGTTTTATACGATATCTGATGGACCCACCTGTCAGAGCTACTTTTCCTGTGAGTTGAGGTGAAACCCATTTAAATATTCCAATTTTTCTTTGGGTTTATGTAAAACCATCAAAAAATTAACTTTTATGCAGGTCGTCCGTGACACCCAGGATATATAACAGCCTACAGGCTTGCTCTAAAGTCTGGTAGTGATGCTTATTGCTGCTAACATATATGTATATTTGTAGCCTCGCTAGCTACCTAGCTCTGTGATTCCTGTCTTGTGTAGGTTCGGCTGTGTTGTGCAAGTTGGGAACTGATTCCCTATACTCACCTAAAACGAAATGGTCCATGATTAATTAGGTATTCTCTCTCAAAAATCTAAAAAAAATATATTAATATGATTTATCTAAAGCAACATGCGTATAGATTTTTTTCAAAAACAATACTTCCTCCGATTCATATTATAAGACTTTCTAACATTGCCTACATTCATATAGATGTTAATGAATCTGTACATATGAATGTGAGCAATACTAGAACGTCTTATAATATAAAACGGAGGGAATACTATTTAAGAGTTCAAGAACCGTGCGCGTCAAAAAAGAGTAGGAGTTGGGAAAAGTGAGTAACGAACATAAAAGAGTAGAGAGATATATCATATATATGTAATCTCGATCGTATTCTATGCATATCTTGCATGGAGAACAAAGAGCAAAAGAAGTAGTAGAGAGAAGCACATCACATGCATGCATGCTTTCCTAGCCTGCTGGCCTGCTCGATCGCCTAAAGGTCTTGGGCTGGCAAGTATATATAAAAGTGATCCCTTTTACGCATTTCTTGCAAGAAGAGCGAGAGGGCCAGTGCCCAGGATCGATGCTTTTCTCGTCATATGGATCACTCTCTTGATTCAACTGTTGTGAAACGATGTGGTATTAGATGCTGTTTTAGCTGGCACTAGTAGCAAAAATAAAAATAAAATAACTGTTCGACACAACATCTTCTTTCCTCTTATCCCTCTAGCTATCTCCCTCTCTGAACTCCGATTGCGAGTGGCCTGGTGAGGAGCGGCGGTGGCAGTTGGGCAGCCAGAGAGGATGGGGCCGCGGAGGAGAAGTGGTTGGATAGGATCGCGGAGCACGCGTGTGGCGGTCTGTCCATTCGTGGTGGCGTTGGACAGGTAGAGATGTTCGATGGTGTTATGTATGTGGCTGCGGAGGCCGAGAATACGGAGAGGATGGGGACCACTGGGGGTGGGGAGGGGGCACCATGGCGGTGGCGGCTGAAACTCGAGCTCGAGCGATGGTGCCGTCGCTCACACGGCGGCCACGCGGGGCGGACACAGTGTTGGGCGGTGGTGCTCAAGATGCTCATGCTCACGCATGGCTTTGCTGATGTGGTCCAACCTCGCCCCACGATCGGGCTATGGCTGCGTCCCCTTTGACCTCACTGACTTTCGTGACCACTCGTCGTCGCCGGCCAAGACATTGGGGTTCTCCGCCTTCGTGTGCACATACTTCCACTTCCTAGGCACCCGTTCCCTCTCCATCGCGTAGGATGTAGACGCTGCCAACAACAAAAACAACAACCATGACACCGACGATGAGGATGCATGCCTCGACGACGTATCGAGGCTGCAGCACCTGTTTGAAGAGAAGGGGTTGGTTGCTGTGGAGAACACTGATATGGCGTTGAGGAAAGGGTGAGAGAGAGGAGGGGAAGAGAGAGAAGAGGGTAAGAGAGCGAGGATGACACAAGGGATCCATTTTTTGTTTTTTTTGCCACGTAAAAGTGTAGCCAGCACGAATGGATTGGGTCAACTTGTCACATCAGCAAAACTACCAATGCATATCGCCGAAGGACCTAATTTAACCTAGTTACGTATGTTGAGTGTTCAATATTTCTAGTATTATGGTTTAGAGATACAAAGGCCGTGTTTAGATACTGTAAAAATTTGGCCAAATTTTTTTATGTATACGGACACACATTTGAAGTATTAAACGTAGACTATAACAAAACAAATTACAAATAACGACTGTAAACTGCGAGACGAATCTTTTGAGCCTAATTAATCCGTCATTAGCACAGGTGAGTTACTATAGCACTTATGTCTAATCATAACATAATTAGGCTCAAAAGATTCGTCTCGCGATTTACAGTCGGACTGTGCAATTAGTTTTTCTTTTTGTCCATGTTTGATGCTCCATACATGTGTCCAAATATTTGATGTGATGGAAAAGTTGGAAGTTTGAAGAAAAAAGTTCGAATCTAAACACAGCCAAATTAAACTCGGCGTAAAGACGAGGGACGGCATGTAGACTTATTAAAAAGAAAAATTCGAAAAGCTACAAACCAGTGCATACGGAACAAATGGCTCTTGTCCTCACGTTCTGTTTTTGGTTTTCCACACTGTTCATCGATCACAGGTGAGAAAGTACAATGTGCGAGAGAAATTTGTTCAGACAAGATTGTAGTAGCTACTAATAAGTAGCAAGCCCTGCAAGTTACATACATTCCATATATACATGTATATACTTATACATTGGTATTGATACACATAGTTGCAGTTGATTGATGAACTGCTGTCGCTGATCTCTGCCTCTGTCCTGTGGGCGCATGCGTGATCGATCTGAATTAGAGATCGAAGATGCTGATTATACTGAGTCCAGAGGCATCTCGAGATGAGGTTGAAGTCTCGATAGGCTGTGCCACGCCATCCCCAACACCCATGGATGCCATGTATAGCCAGACGAATGTGAGGAGTTCCCCTCCTTTGGCCAGATGCGCGGCGTGTCCCTCCGGCCTGGACTTGCCGGCGGTGTAGATGAGGAGCCTCATCCAAATGTCTCTCAACTCCTCGAGAACCGCCTCGTGCTGCTCGTGCTGAGTCCTCCAAGGAAATTCAACAGGTGCATTTTTCAATCTCTCTATGAGAGTACTGAGGGAGATATCCACGTTGTGGTCAAGGATTTCCTTATTTAGATACGATAATGAAAGTCCAACACTATTTGCAATTCCGCTCTGCAGCGTGGATACAGCATCTGTGCGCACAACAAAGTACATCATATAATTATCATATAATTAGATAGCTTCCGACAGACGTTGACTAAAGAGGCGGCGGAGGCACTCAATTCCGTTGACTTCTCACTTGCATTACTCTTCATCAAGTAAGCCATTGTGATTGTGTGCAGCACAATTATGGTTGAAGAAAATGTGAGGAGCAACATCCCTTCTATCTCCTTGACAAATGGCTCCAAGTGCGTCCACCGCCGATTAATAATCCTTTGAGATGATCCAAGCTTTTTAATCTCACACATGACACACTCCATCAAATCGTTGTCCACCACCTCATACCTGGTCTCCAGCAGCGTGCTCACCCAAAATAGCTTCTTGTTCATCACCTTGCCTCCAACACCGACTCCTCTCGCCATCTTCCTCATCATTCTCATCAGTCGTTGGGGCGCTGTAACTGCTAACTCGTCATACATGCCCAAGTATGAACTTAGCAAGTTGTACTGGCCCATTTTATTTGACCACAGTGGCCTTCTCTTCAGCCTTCCAACAAAATACCATGATATGCGAGATAGCCTATCGTATCCTCCATCCTTCAGCCACCACCATGTCCGAGGTGAAGCTAGCAGCACTGTAAACAAAGCACAAACATCTAGAAGGATACTTCCAATAAATAAGGCGTAGGTGATCCCAACATCAACACTACTGTGTAATCTGCTCGCTGCTTCTTTCTTGCTCATGACAGCAAAAACCACAAGAGCAGCAAAGGTAGATACCTGAGAGATGCACCGTGTTACAATGCCACTCCTTGTGTCTGTGTAGCAATATTGTAGCCTTGGTATACATATCATTGTACATGAGACTAAGCTCAACATCCAACAACTTGGACACCAGGCTGTGATCAAGTGAACTAACAGTGTTTTATGTGTCAATTAAACATTTTCTAAATTCATCAGTTATATCTGTACTTCTTCCAAACAATGTATTTGTGACTTTTTGCATGTTTAGAACAGAACAAACAAGTTCCTGGTAAACATCATGCTCGGTCAGTTCTGAGATCCTCTCCTTACTAATTTTAATGTTGGATGTCATGCCGTTGTTTAGTTTCCCATACATGAGAGCCACTGTCCGCTCTCCATACTTGATAATTCCAGCAGTAAACAAGAAGACACCGGGAACAAGAAGCTGCACATTTTTGTGCCAACTAGTTGACTTCCAGAATACATACATGGCTAGGGTCACCTGAACTACCAAGTTCAGTAGATGCCTCAACCACAGGTTGTTGTCCTCCATGGAGAATGCAGTGATGGTGTCCTGCCCACCAAGATGAATCAAGAGGAAGGGCGCCCACAAGAAAGCCAGTGGGTGGGTTTCCCCTAATGTGCTGTAGCCCTTCTTCATGTGGTGGTGTCCACGTGTCGTGAGAGGTAACCTAGAGCATAAATTGCTACTAAGTCTGCTCCCAGATATGCTATCCAAATGGTGCCCCTAAGAAATCCGTTAGTGCTGCGCTGTCGAAGGCTGCCGGTGAAGAAGAGGAACACTTGTAGGATGAAGCTAAGAAGCACAATAAGCAACTGGATCTCCCATGCATCAAGTAGTTCCAACAAGCTACCCATTGCTAATCGAATTATCTGCTATGCCACCGACCCTGGAGAGATTGTGGTAAAGAAGATATAACACATTAATTATTTATGACTTTATACCAAAAACACAATATTTTCTAATCTACTCCCTATGTTCACAAACAGATACTCCC